TCACGGAACCCTCAATCCACTACGTAGCCCTTCGACGTACGACCACCCTGAAACAGCAAATAAGTCGAGCGCCAGGTCGTTATTACCAGAACGACCACTGGAATGATACGAATAGCCAAAAACAAAATTTCCGGAACAATCCCAAGCTTCGAAACGGTCTCCTGCTAGCTCCGACCGAAGAACGGCGTGAAGGTCACTGGTGAAGCTTAGGTTAAAGTATGACAAGGTCCTGACCAAATAAATAAAATTAACTCAAGATTGCGGGGGAAAAAATCACAATATTTAATCAGACTTAGATGACTCGATACAAATAAAATAACTCAATTTCTCTGAAAAACCCCCTTTGGTTGTTTCGATCGATCAACGATCATGAGGCTTCAATAGTACTGATTCTACAATTGTCCAAGGAATAAAAGATTCTGATAGGAAAATAGAAAAGTAGTCAATTTAGTCAAAAGAGATAGTCAAGAATAGCCAAAGTCAAGGAGGGAAAAAAATAAAACCAGAATCAAAATATCGTCCACAATAATCATGTAGATTGAACAACACTGAACGATCGAAATCCAAGAAATCATCTACGTGACAAGTAACGCTGGCTGTCCGACACAAATACGAAAACTCGAGACAATGGGCCAGCGAAACGAAGCAAGGTCACGAGACACAAAAGACCTACGTTCAATGTCCTTCACTGAATATTCACCGACAGAGAGAGCGTTCATCTAACACCGATTAATTTAGACGCAACACTAACTCATTTTTAACAACCAAAATATTCATAAAATAATAGTTACTCGCAACATGAAACCTGAGAGCCCGAGACTCTACGAAATGAATCAATGTCGCGAGACAACCGAAATCGAATGATCAAACACAATGATTCCAATTACGCACGAGAGAGAGACGAAAAGCCCCACTAATTAAGTACTGATCAGAGTGACTAGGACTCTATCCGGCAATTATCTCGAAACTCTAGAAGTCCTACGGGACTAAGATGCACGGAACATCTATTCAAAATTCTAAAATTGGCCAGAGTCCTACTCACGACAACTTTACACAGATGCGTCATACGGAGTCGTAGCCATCACGCTCACCCAGCAGTCCACCTCGATGCCTCCGGAAAACGTCTCAAAAACTCCTCAATTCCGAGTCCTCGGGACCTTCCTCCAGACGAATCTACTCAAGGCTTCCTCCACAGGGCTTATTCTCCTTCGATATCGCCTTCAGGCTCCCCCAAAACTCCAAAACGAACGCAATTGACTCTCCAACTCGCTTAAACACAACGTGTGTTAGAACCACCAAACGGGAAGTGAGGTTCGTTTTCCCAGCGACACCACGCTGGACTGTGAAAACGCGGTAACGACGCTCATTGGCTGCTCGTTCCGTTCACTCCTCCAATCAGTTTCCAGACAACTAGACTCTGTCGCTCACATGGCCGAAACAAGTCCGTCGGCGCATGCGCGGTGACTTCTCTAAACGTTATTTAATTAAAACCATTTATCCCAGAGTATCAATTAACTCTAAATGTCCTCTGACCTCCTTTCAAATCAGTCTCCTGACCATTTTGTCCCCAAAGGACCATTTCACTCAACCTCCTTCTGATCTCGGTGAAATACTTCACTTCCCCTTCCACATTGAACCAGCCGGGCTCCTACGTCACGTTTCCCCTAGAGTTGCCCGAGAGCTGGCGACCTCTGGCAATCCGAAGACCCATGAGGCTTTCATCACGAACTCGAAGTGTCCCGAAGTCCCTCGACGATTCCCGGAGACATTGCCACCTCAGTCCCACGATGTCGGCGCTAGATTCGATCCAAACAATCCAGAAGACGATACAAAACAAAAGAATTAACAAAATATACTGAACCTCTCTCATGACTCTCGCTGTCAGTTGGTGACTTCGGGTCTGGTGATTTTTAAACTCGAATCCCACAGGCGAAACGGTCGAATAAACAACAAATGCTATTTGTGACGGAAAATAACACGCCACAATATATATACATATACATATATACCCATTTATTACAGAATCAATTTTTATGGATGACGTATATATAATTAAATTTCTTTATATATCAATTTGCATGGGTGATACGGACCCTCCAGAAAACGTATAGATAAACGGCCCTCTACAAGCAATGTCTTATGATAGATGTATTCTGCGTGATCGTCCAAAAGTGCTGCAGATACACGTGTGGGGAGGAAAACTTCATGCTCAGGACCCAGAGTAGCTACGATTCTTCTACCATATTTGGTGTTGATACTTTTGAATGCAGTAATCTGATAATCCCCACCTAAAGTTAGATCATTAACCCTTTTAACGGGGAGAGTCTCGCATGGGGCGATTTTGTTGATATTTCTTTCAGCCATTTTTTCAAAAAGATCTTTTGTAATCAAAATGAACACAAATTGATATCATCAATGGAACCAATCTTATGAACGAAACTTGCAAATTAATTACATACCTCTATTTCGCCAAATCTCGCAGGAAACTCAGCCACGGATACACAACAACTGTTGACGGAGTACTGATAATTCTTGGGAAATCCTCAAACATATACTATTCACACTTATTATCCCCCTCCCCCACAGTTCTACCAATCATGTATTTGTAATTAGGAGATCAGCCAATAGTAGTGGCTGCTTCACCCAGATTGATTCCTTAAAATTTTACGGGTGTTGGCGTTGAGTCATCAGAAAAGACACGTGAGTGTAACTCTATCATGACTTTTTTTTTTTGTCATCTCCGAGTTGCTGATCGATGCATCACGTGTTATAAAATTTGCAGTTTCGATGGTTTGTCTTTGTTCTTTGAGAAATTTACAAAACTGACAGCTAATGAATCATAAGAAAACACAACCGTGTAACTCTATCCGTGAATCAACGATTGTGATTTTCGACGGTTTTCAATTGCTGATCCATGCACCACGGGTTCTAAAAGTTGAAGTTTTGTGTTTGATCTGAAGGACATATTTAGAAAACTGATATGCTATTGCAACTCTTCCGAAACTTTATATTTCTGCGAATACTCGTTTGAATTCGTCACTCGTAGTCTTTACGTCTGAAAGAGAGCATCATACGAAACGGGCACAATGGAGCACGAAGATTATCGAAAAAATAGGCGGTATCTGTATTTCTTAACACAGCTGATTGAGTTCATTTGTGACAGAGTGCCATCATATCAAGAATTATTTTTTGATCAACGAACGAAATTTTGGGATAGTTTATCTCGTGCAACATTGAACAGGATATTAGAGCGGACTGTTTGTCATACACCCTGTC